TAGATGTCATGTGTGGCAACATATGGAAATGCTCTGAGAACTGCAATTGCTCCATCCGCCTCCACCGCTAGCATGGCTTTCATGAGAGGGTTTGTTCTCTGGCTTACTTCTTCCCTTAAAAATACTTTTAGAAAATAATTTTTTGATCAGACTCTTGAAGCAGATTCTGATTTGTCTTCTTTGTGTCAGATCACAAGTGCCTTCAGGGAGGTGTTTCTCCACAGCTTCAGGTACTTGTTTTTAGTGTCACTTCGGCTTTTGGCTATTTAACTAGAAAATCTGTTCTCAGGGCATCCTTCAAAATGCTTATAAACCATGCTTTATTTCAATGGGCATTTATCTACTCGCTGCAACTTTAGTCCTATTTTTATCGGTTAAGGTTCATGGGAGGACAACTTCATGTCAATGCACACTAATAGAGTCATTTGCATTGACATTTACCCTATCTTCTGCTTTAGTATTTGTGTCTGTTTTTCGAACTTATTGCCTGAGGCATCCTTCTTATCCTTAGTTGCTTTAATTTGGAAACATGGAACCAAAGTGGGAGAACCCTCAAATTTGGAATCAAATTAATCTGGCGTCTTCTCTATTTTAGATTTTCCTCCACACCAAGAGATTGGTATGCCCTCTCTTTCACCTACAATGACAGAGGTATGTAGCTTCTCTCACTAAAGCTCCTTCGAGCATCGTTATTATTTTCCACTTACGTTTGTCTTAGCGCCTCAGCGGTTCCATACTTGTAATGCAGGGAAATATTGCCAGATGGTTAAAGAAAGAGGGCGATAAAGTTTCTCCTGGTGAAGTGCTATGTGAAGTGGAAACAGTATGATCATTTTAAGCTTCTTTTATCATGATGTTGTTGAGGGAGTTTTCTCCCTTATGTGTCTTAACTTCTGGATTCTGGTATTTATGCTACTCATTCAATCCCTATAGGATAAAGCAACAGTGGAGATGGAGTGCATGGAAGAGGGATATCTAGCTAAGATTCTTCGCGGAGACGGAACAAGCAGTATCAAAGTTGGAGAGGTATTGATGCTTAATCCAATTGATTGAGAGTACCAATTTGGACTGTTTATCTTGGTGTTGGATAATTTAGACCTTAAGCCATGTGGTAAAGGGACTCACTGTCATCTGTATTGTTGAAGGGCTCACCGTTATCTGTATTGTTGAATTTTTCACTTGTTAGTTGAGGATTTGCACTGCGTGGATGTAAAATCTCTACATACTTGTATAGATCTGCATTTATATAGTTGATGCATACACAGCACATTCCACCACAAAGGCTAATTTGGTCCTTCTAGTCCCTTCTTTTGACCTATATTCTAGTTGGTACTTTGTTTCTAGGCTGGTGCTTTGCTGAACCTTTGATATTTTAGCTAATAGCTGAATAGTGAACCTGACAATTCCCTATTTTATGTTGTAATCCATCAGGTCAGTCACAATAAGCTCCTAATCTCATATAGTTGACCCAGCAGAAGTTCTTTCCTCTGTGAATCTTATTGTGCCTTGAGCTACATGCCAAAAAAAGCGACATCATTGTGAGAATCAATCATAATTTTTGTTGTTTGATGAATGTTGGAAATTCTGTAGGTGATTGCTATTACTGTTGAAGAGGAAGATGACATTGCAAAATTTAAAGATTACCAACCTTCAACATTGGATGCTACGCCTTCACCGAAAGCGCCTCCTCCTCCACCTCCTCCCAAAGAAGAGGTTGCCGAGAAACCTGTCACTCCATCAGAGACAAAAGTTTCTAAACCTAGTGCGCCTCCGGCAGATCGCATTTTTGCTAGTCCTCTGGCTAGGAAAATGGCGGAAGATCACAATGTATATTTTCTTCAGTTAAATTTTCTTCGAAAATATGATTCAGGTTAATATGTTTTAGCCTTGAGGTTAATTCTGCATTTGTATGAACATGAGCAGATACCTCTCTCAAACATCAAAGGAACAGGTCCTGAGGGACGTATTGTGAAGGCTGATATTGAAGATTATCTTGGTAACCTTCTTTCTAGTCTGCACATATATACTTATATGCTAGTTGATGTTACTATTGGTTTTATGTCGCTGAACTATCTCCTTTTTTTTGCTGATGGAAAGAAGTTGTTATGTAGTCTTAGAAGAATCAATGATCTTTATTTTTCCCTTGATAATGTAGCTTCTCGAGGAAAGGAAGCCCCTGCAGCAGCTGCCAAGGCTGAGGCATCTCTTGATTACACAGATATTCCTGTTTCACAGATAAGAAAGGTACTATTTACACCTCTAGGGTATGCATCCTCGTGTTCCCAGAATAAGCCAATTTTAGATGCTCGTCCATGTTATCTCCAATTAATCCCTTGTATTAAGTGTTAGCCTGTTAGGTATACTTCTTGTTTACCCACTTCTTTTACAAGCACAAGTTTTGTCCTAATACCAGTTTTGGTGTAATCTGTGCAGGTGACAGCTTCTAGGTTGCTGCTGTCAAAGCAAACCATTCCCCATTACTATTTGACTGTGGATGCATGCGTCGACAAACTTATGGAGTAAGTATTACTTTCATTGTTCAACAGCCAAATTGATTTTTTTTCTGTTATTTATCTTGCCTGTTGCTTGGTCTGCAGATTGAGGAGCCAGCTCAACTCATTGCAAGAGGCTTCGGGAGGAAAGAAGTTATCTGTTAATGATCTTGTAATAAAGGTATGAAATACTCCATTTAGATCCACTGTGCCACCTGACAAGGAAGAAGGAAAAGAGAGCAATGGTCTTGTTATCTCGTCTCAAGGAGTCGATTCTAGCCTTTCTGTATTTCGTGAAGGGTCCAGAAAAGAGAGAAAAAGTCTTGTCAAAACCCAAGAGAGAGACTGCGCATGGACGTCTGTGCCAAAATTTGAGCCGGAATGTCGTAGATTTCTCTCATAAGAAATCTGAATAACTTCTAACTTGCTTTCTTAACTACTGCGCCTTGTCAAAACACAGATATTCCTCGGTCCCATTATATATGATGTTTAGAACTATTTGGAAATCGAACTGATTTTCTTGGCTACATTTTTTCTGGATAATAAATATGTTTAACTGTAAAAAGTTGTAAATTTCTCTTGATAGGCAAAGAAGTTACAATTTTCAGTGATACTTTTAATATAATTTCTAAATATATAAACTTTGCTTATGTTGAAGAAATGGGTGTAAATATGTAAATTTTACACTTATGTTTAGGTCTTTTGACCACTGTTTCGACTTTATTTGGAAAGGAAGGAGTACATAATACGGGGTGTATAAGAGATATTGTCGTCAGTTATTTGTGGTGACCTGTCTCAGAGAGAGATGACCTGGGTAACTTCATTGCAGGCTGCTGCTTTAGCTCTTCGAAAAGTTCCTCAGTGCAACAGTTCATGGACCAATGATTACATTCGCCAGTAAGTGGAATATATGTGCGAGAAGACTTCTGTTGTTGAGATTTGCTATGTATATTAATAGTGCATTCTTTCTTGCAAACACAGGTATCACAACATAAATATCAATGTAGCAGTGCAGACTGACAATGGACTTTACGTTCCTGTTGTCAGGGTTCGTTCTCATCCCAGTCTGCTGCTTATAGTAATTGGATATTTCTTGATTCTTACTACCTGTTATATCTCATCTTAGAAAATCCGCATTGTTGGCAGGATGCTGATAAGAAAGGTTTATCCACTATTGCCGAGGAAGTGAAGAACTTAGCCCAGAAAGCAAAAGAGAACAGCTTAAAACCACAGGATTATGAGGTGTGCATTGCAGTTAAATATCTTCTTTTGCATAGTTGGACAAAAGTATATTTTATTCAACTCTTGTTTCTTTTTTTCACAGGGAGGAACATTCACTGTTAGCAATTTGGGAGGGCCTTTTGGTATAAAACAGTTTTGTGCCATCATTAACCCTCCACAATCAGCCATCCTAGCTGTTGGTTCTGGTAAGTTTGCATCTCATTGAACTGATTTATTTCAGCTGTGATATCTTGTGCTTATCACCACTTGCTCTTAAACAGCTGAGAGAAGGGTGATACCTGGTTCGGGCCAAGACCAGTATAAGTTTGCTAGTATGATGTCTGTAACATTGAGCTGTGATCACCGGGTGATTGATGGTGAGTGACTTTACTGGCTATTAGATAGTTGGTTCTTCATATCCACTTCTTTAAAAAGCAATTCACGATTAACCTTAATAATTTCCTTTTGTCCAGGCGCAATTGGTGCACAATGGCTCAAAGCATTCAAAGGCTACATAGAGAGTCCAGAGTCTATGTTACTGTAGATTGATACTTCTCTTTTTTTTTTTTTTTAGATCCTTTGAATTCTTCACGTTTTTCTCAACAAATGGGATGAGTTTGGATGTATGATAAGTGGGATTATACGTGCCGTGGCCTGATCTTAGTGCTTTGATATAAGCATTTTTATTAGGGAAAGTGGCTGAATAACTTGGGAATAAATGAGGCTGCAAGGCCATGTACCATTGATTTAGGCTTTCCATCGCAGAGTGTTAACTCCAGATTTTGCTCGAGGTCATTGAGTTGATTATCTGTCTGAACTACATGGAATCCTTGCTGGAAATTCATTATATTTTAATAAAATTCACTAATCTGTTAAGTTAGAGATGCTTCAACATGAGGCTGTTGCTTGAATCCATGATTATCTTCTTGATTAACATATGGGTACAGTTCTGTCTGTTTCAATATCGTTTCTTAGAGCTAAGATAAAAACGTATTAACAATTAAATTTAGTGTAGCAAATTCTTTATATCAGCTGGATAAGGAGGTGTCATATTTTTTCATAGAGCAAAGTTGATAATTTGGTTTAGAATTATATTGAAATTGAGGTGTAGTTGATTGACATAAAACATGTTTTTATTTAAGGTAAAAGATAAAAATGTATCTAACTTGACCAAAGAAAAGATGAAAGCTACTCAAATAAAAGACATACATTTTTTCCCCTCAATCTTTGCCACACTAGTGTAATACACAACCAAAAACTAGACAAGTTTAGTGAATCAAAAGCAATCTATCTACTAATATGATCAATAAAGGAATTGAGCTCTAGTTGAGAAACACCTCCTTCATTTCTTGATTGCCAAACTTCTCTCCCCAACTTCTCAGCCCTACTTCTCATCTCCTCCGCTTCTTTAGACACCATCAATCTATTTACAACTTTCTCAATTGTCAATGAGCTAACCAATTCCATTTTGTGAGCTTGTTCTGCCACTTGAATACCAACTTCTAAAATATCAGTTATTAGTGTAGCATTCCAAGGTTGTTCAGAGTGCATTGGCCAAGCTAATATAGGGACTCCCATTGTAATACTTTCCATGCATGAATTCCACCCACAATGGCTCATAAATCCACCAATTGAAGTGTGTCTCAAGATTTCTAACTGTGGTGCCCAATCTGTTACAACCATACCTATTCCTTCCATTCTTTCTTCATACCCTTTTGGTATTCTTGCTTTTCTTGTTTCTCCATCAAAAACATTTCCCTTATCTGCATCTCTCAACACCCACAAAAACTTTTGCTTGCTCCTTTCTAGCCCCATAGCCAATTCTTGAATTTGTTCATCGGTCATTGTAGTCGTTGATCCAAAGAGATGTAAAGAACAGATTTTGGACCTTGTTTATCTAGCCATTCCAAGCTTTTGTACCTGCTTCTTGAATCTTTGCCTGCAACCATTGTTAAATCTGGTAGTATAGGTCCAATCGACCATTGCTTCTTGTTTGCATTCATTTCCAACTTGTTTAACATATCAACATAAGTTCCTTCAATCAATCTGCATGAGTTGAATACATCTCCTGATCTGTAGTGCATAAACTCATACTGATAAGCCATAAAATTCATGATTTCCGAGGAAAAACACCCTTCCATTGATGGTAGATTTTTTGGCATTCCCTCAACTGGAAAAGGTCTTCCAATAGCTTCCCAAAAGCTAAAGAATTGAGTGAAAGCAGAGATGCAATTAAAGGCATAGGACTCTGCATTTGGAATGGAGGAAACATCTTGCACCACAGAAGACATAAGAGGGTCATGTATAACAACAATTCTTTTCACTTTGTTGGAGAATTCATGTAGGAGATTCGAAAACGGTTCATGTAGCTGTTTAGAGGCTTCAAAAGATGGTTGAAGATGTGTTGGAAATTTTGAGGTGGAATTTTGAACAGGAGGAGGTGACTCAAAATCTGGAGTTGGGAGTTCATGAAACTGAATTTTCTGCATATCTTGAAGGTTTCTTGATTTAGCCTGCTGAATGTGAGTTTGGAAGCCAACAAAATGAGTTGGAATTTCATATGAAGAGATCAGACATGAAAATTGTAGCAGCTGGTTAAGATGGCCTTGTGCTGGAAATGGCACTACAAATACAACAACAGATTCCATACTTTTCTTCTTTACTCAGATTTATTTTTTGGGCAAGTTCACTGTCTTATTTGTGTAGATTTTGATTAATAAGGGACCATGTTATACAGAATTTATTAAAGTATCTCTAGATAATATTTCTTGTTTTCCAAGGAAAATGAGGTCAACAAAAGTACATATTTTAAGGTAGTCTAAAGAATAGGATAAGAAAACTGAACTTTGTCAGACTAAGATATGATTTAAAAAACCTGAACTTTACCTCATCATCTATATCATATATAGCAGCTGTTGCTTTATATATTTTATTTGCTTCTCCAGAATTAGACTTCTTGTTATTACAAGATGCGGGAAGCGAGGTTTAGATGGTTCGGACATGTTCAGAGGAGAAGCCCAGATGCTCCGGTACGGAGGTGTGAGCAGCTAGTTGTGGATGCCACGAGAAGAGGTAGAGGGCGACCTAACAAGTATTGGGGAGAGGTGATCAGGCATGATATGGCGAGGCTTCAGATTTCCGAGGATATGACACTTGATAGGAAGATGTGGAGGTCGAGTATTAGGGTTGTAGGTTAGGAGGTAGTTGAGTCGTGCCTTACTTCGTACCATTGTGGGACTAGCCATGTAGGGTTTTTGTCTAAGATAGCTATTTGTAATGTTGTGACTTACTATTTCGCTTTTCAGTGCATGTCCTATTTACTAGCTATCGCTTTTGCTTTGCATCTTTCTTCTAGATTTTATGGTGTTCCTATTTTTCTTATGATTATTGTGGTGATACTAATATTTACTAATATTGTCTCCCTTTGCTTTGCATCTTTCTTCTAGATTTCATGGTGTTCCTATTTATCTTATGATTGTTGTTGTGATACTAATATTGTCTCCTTTTTGTCATTTTATCTTTTTATTTTTTTGAGCCGAGGGTCTTTCGGAAACAGTCTCTCTACTCCTTCGGTGTAGGGGTAAGGTCTGCGTACATACTACCCTCCCCAGACCCCATTAGTGAGATTTTACTGGGTTGTTGTTATTGTTGTTATTACTTGAATAAAACAAAGTCATTGATGGTATAGTAATATTGTAAGCCAAATTGATGCCAGCACTTTTGTACAATTTAATGGAAAATCAACTCTATTAGACTCATACATCTTCCATTTTTTTAAGAGGTTGGTAAAGTTGTTGTTATGCGATCGGAAGATCACAAATTCGAGTCGTGGAAATAGCTTATTGCAGAAATATAGGGCGAGACTGCGTATAATAGACCATTGTGGTCCGACGTTTTTCCGGACCCTGCGCATAGCGGGAGCTTAGTGCACCAGGCTGTCTTTTATCTTCAAATATACAACTTGAGCAGGAGCAGTTGGTGAGTGCATTGCAAGTTATTTGGAAATGGGACAAACACAAGTAAATTCCATTAATCATAGCAACAAGTGGTTGCTCAAAATTGTGTACAAGGACAATGGACATAGACCTTTTCATCATATAGGGAATCTAAAAGTCTAATATCAAAGTAATGTACAATCTTCAAGTTAAACCAAAAATATAACGACAGGAAAAACATCTAAATCTCAATCAACAGTTGCAGCAACTTTGTTTTTCTGATATACTTGCTACTCCTTTCCAACTAGATTGTCCATAGGATGCATAGAGACGGAGCTCTCCAGCCTTTTCGGTTGAGAATTGTCGTTCTGGTCCTTCTAATTACAAATTTTTCCAATTGGTATTATGTGATAACAATCATCAAGAAGAAACCGAATCATATTTTTTCAAGTCAATTCTCAATGGAAGCAGCAGCTACAAGTATAGGTAGCATGTGTGGGGCTCATATTAAAGAAAAACAAAGAAGAAAATGAGAGGTGCCTAACTTTGTTGAAAAATTCTAGGACTAAATTAACAACAAAACATCTTCTTTGTAGTAGTTGAATGACATATCTTACTATAAATAGAGGTCTCCATTCTTCATTTCAATTACACCAAAATAAGAGAGAAGCAATAGAAGTTAGAGAGAGAAATCCACAGATTGTAGTCTGTGAGATAAATAGTGAGTGTGAGTAATATTGTAGTGAGTATTTTAATTAAAGAGTGTTATTTCTTTCAAGATTGTAGTAATCTCTTGACACTACTAAGTTGTAATATTATAGTGATTATATTGCTCCGATCGGGTATTGTATTTTACCCATTAAAAGAGTTGGTGTCATTGTTACTCTCTTGTGTTGTTATTATTTGTCGTGGATATTATTCCTAGGTGGGATTATTTTTTCCAACAACACGATATCAGAGCCATGACAAATAATAGTACGCTGTCTTTTCAGTGCCCCCGTCTCACAAAAGATAATTATGAGAAATGGTGTCTACGTATGAAAGACATTCTTAGCTCTGAGGATGTGTGAGAAATCGTAGATAGAGGGTATGCAAAACCCGATAATGAGGAAGCTCTGCCTCAAAATAAAAAAGATGTCTTGGCAAAGACAAGGAAGAAGGATCAACAAGCTCTCACGCTCATCCATCAATGTCTCGATGATGCCATGTTCGAGAAGGTGACAGATGCTACCACCTCAAAGAAAGATTGGGAGATTTTACAAAATTCTCTTCAAGGAGTTGACAAGGTGAGGAAGGTAAAACTTCAAACTCTAAGGGCTGATTTTGAAGTTTTAAAAATGAAAGAATCCGAATGTATTTCAGATTATTGTTCAAAAGTGAAGGATGTTGTAAATCAATTAAGAAGATATGGGGAGGACATAAAAGATGTCTGTGTGGTAGAAAAGATCCTTCGCACTTTAACACCTAAATTTAATTCTATGGTGTGTGCTATTGATGAGTCTAAAGATTTAGACTCTATGATGGTAAAGCAATTGGAAGGTTCTTTACAGGCCCATGATGAAAAGATCAAGAGGAGAAAAGAAGTACCATTGGAGCAACTTCTAAAAACTCAGGCATCCTTCAAAGATTATGGAGGTAAAAAGAGCTATCGAGAGAATGGACGGGGATGAGGTCGTGGCAGTCATGGAAGAGGAAGAGGACGTGGCTACTACCAAGAAAATAATAGACAAAGGTATGACAAATTAAAAATTGAGTGTTATAATTGTCATAAATTTGGCCATTACTCTTGGGAATGTCGTAGCAATGTTGAAGAAAAAGCTAACCTTGTTGACAACAAGAAAGAAGAAGTTGAGTCAATGCTACTAATGACACTCAAGGAAGAAGACAAGGATGATTACAGCTCGTGGTATTTGGACAATGGAGCAGGCAATCATATGTGTGGATGCAAAGAGAAGTTTGTGGAGATCAATAAAACGGTGAGAGGTAATGTGTCCTTTGGAGATACCTCAAAGATTCAAATTGAAGGGATAGGTACGATTCTGATCTCCTGTAAAGATGGTAGTCACAAGTTAATTCAAGATGTTTATTATGTCCCAAAATTAAAAAGTAATATTTTGAGTTTGGGCCAACTTCTTGAAAAGGAATACGACATCCACATGAAAAATATGCATTTTTGACTTAGAGATTCAAGTGAAATTCTAATTGCTAAAGTGCATATGGCTAAGAATAGATTATTCTCTCTGAATCTTAAGGCAATTGATGCAAAGTGTTTGAAGGCTAATATGCAAGATGAATCATGGTGTTGGCACATGCGATTTGGGCACTTGAATTTTGAAGAGCTCAAATCAATGGGAGAAAAGAATATGGTGCATGAGATACCATCAATAAGCCATCCCAATCAATTGTGTGAAGCTTATCTTCTTGAAAAATATGCAAGAAGGATTTTTCCAAAGGAGGCCATGTCAAGATCAACCAAGCCGCTTCAGCTTGTTCACACTGATATGTGTGGATCAATCAATTCACCTTCCTTTGGTAAAAGTAAATACTTTCTACTTTTCATTGATGACTTTAGTAGAAAAACTTGGATTTATTTCTTGAACCAAAAATCTGAAGCTTTTTGCTACTTTTAAAAATTTCAAAGTACTTGTAAAAAAAGAAAGTGGCTATGAAATAAAAGCTTTAAGGTCCGATAGAGGAGGCGAATTCACTTCAAAAGAATTTAATGACTTTTGTAAATCTCATGGAATTTGTCGCCCTCTAACGATACCTTATTCACCCCAACAAAATGGAGTTGCAGAGAGAAAGAATCGAACGATTCTTAATATAGCTAGATGTATGTTAAAAGCTAAAAATATGCCCAAGAAATTTTGGTCAGAAGTTGTATCTTGTACAGTTTATTTGAACAAAAGG